TAGTTATCTGGGAGTACTTAAAAGTATCTGCTGATTTAATGGAATTATTCTGTATTTTCAAAGGATTGTCAAGGGCACCCCAGGCCAATAGTTTCAAAAGCAACTGACGATTTGTGTGCCTCAGTTCTGGGGTGCCCTACTTAGGACACTTTTAATGGCATTGATTTTGTGAGGTGTCTTAATTGTGGTACTCAAAATCACGAGTCACTTTTTTTTTTTTAAATGTAGCACTAGAGCCTTGGGACATGAGATCTTTCTTAGCAGTTTGCTATAAATGTATACAAATAATGCAGAGGTTATGGCCTATAACATGCTTACCAGAAATTGTCAACACAAACTTTGGTGCGTGTGTTTGTGACAGAAAGAATGCATAAGTGGGAGGATGTATGTGTTTTGGGGGATGGAGGAAGGGAAAGAAATGTTACTTCAACTGAGGGTTTTGTTGTTGTTGTTTTAAAAATAAGGTACAAAATGTTACTGCTGGAACAGTGTTGCTCTGTGCTCTGACCCCTTTCCAAGACAAGATTTAAGTACTTACTAAGGAAGAGAAAACCATCGCATTTGACTTTCTACAGTATACGCTGTATCATTTGTTATAAACTATACAGGAAAAGAATCAAATGACTTAATAACTAAATACCAGCTCTGTAAAGCTGTGCAGAAATAACTAGGCTCCAGGGCCTAAGCTACAACTCTCCATTATAAAAGTATAGGTACAAAAGAAATACGGTTGATCTGAAATATTTTCAAGTTCTGCCAGTGATTAAATTGGGTCTTAACATCATCCCTTTTCCCCAGCAACACAGAGGGAGAGAAGAAAGCTGTTGAAGATGTTGTAGCTATCCTACTGAAGGAAAAAATGTACACATACTCTGGTGGTGGAAAAATATAAATAAATAAATAAAAAATCCAAGAAAAAAAACAAAACCAATTAGCATAAACTAAATTGATATAGGGCACTTTAAAGTCTATTTAGGTGCACACACAAGGAGGTTGTACCAATCAAACTAAATTGGTTTCTAAACGGATTCAGTTAAATCAATTCAATTTTCACATGTAGAGAAGAGGTAAAAAAAAATTTAAACCACCTAAGGCCCAGATCTTCAAAGGCATTTAGGTGCCTAATCCCCACTGACATCCCATGGGGAGTTACATGGCAATATAATTGCAGCTCTTGGCCTAAGTGATTTAGGAGCCTATGTTCCATCTTAAATAAATTACTTAGGCACCTTAGAGCCTAAATCCCATTGACTTTTAAATTGAATTTTGAAAATAGAATTTAGGCTCCAAAGTCAGTTAGGCTCGCTTGAAAATTTTACCCAAGTCTTTGTACACAGCACATATTCATTTGTCATGTTAGGACCCCGTTCTGCAAACACCAATGGATGTAGAATTTACTATTATCTACCCACTGTAGTAAACACCATGTCCAGAGTAAATGTTTGCAAGTTTGGGCCTTACTATGTCTTTCTAAAAAAAAGATACTCTAACTCAGAGTTATGGGCCCGATGCTGGGATTATTGGGTGAAATTCTCTGGTCTGCACTATGCAGGAGGTCAGACTAAATTAGCAGAATGGTTCCTTTGGTTTTAAAATATATGAATCTATCACAAACTTTAATGGAACTATTCACAATCGTAAATACTACATCCAGAAGTCAGTGTTTGTAGGATTGGGCCTTTAATTTACAGTAACTCCTCACTTAAAGTCGTCCCGGTTAACATTGTTTCGTTGTTACGTTGCTGATCAATTAGGGAACATGCTCCTTTAAAGTTGTGCAATGCTCCCTTGTAACGTTGTTTGGCAGCCACCTGCTTTGTCCACTGCTTGCAGGAAGAGCAGCCCCTTGCAGCTAGCTGTGGGGGCTTGGAACCAGGGTGGACCGGCAGGCCCCCTATCAGCTCCCCGCTCCCCTAAGTTCCCTATGCAGCAGCCATCCAGCAGGCTACCAATTGCCCGCAGTTCAGCTGTTCCTCCCCCCACTGCCATGTGCTGCTCCTCTCCTCTGCCTTAGAGCTGCTCCTGGGGGCCTCCTGCTTGCTGTGCAGGGGAGGGGGGAAGAAGGAGGCTAATGTCAGGGTGTTCCCCTTCCCTCCTACTCCTGCCCCCCACTTACCCCTTCTCCATATAGGTGGGGACAGGACAGGGCCCAGCACGAGAGAGCTTGCTGGCCACAACTGCTTTCTCAACTTCCTGATCTTTTTAAAGGCAATGTACTTAAGAGTGGGGTCAGCGTACTAAAAGGGGCAGTGCGCATCTCTCTCTCTCTCCCACACACAGGGTCTTTGTCTCTCTCTGCCATGCTATCTCCCCTCCCTCCATTCGTGTTGCCTTGTAGAGTGTGAGGCTACATTAACAACAATGTGTTAACCCTTGAGGGCTCAGCTGAATGCTAGTTCATCATTTAGCAGTAAGATATTCCCTGGGAAATATCCCACCCTCTAAGAGTATGGCTACACTACGAAATTAGGTCGAATTTATAGAAGTCGTTTTTTTAGAAATCGTTTTTATATAGTCGATTGTGTGTGTCCCCACACAAAATGCTCTAAGTGCATTAACTCGGCGGAGTGCTTCCACAGTACCAAGGCTAGCGTTGACTTCCAGAGTGTTGCACTGTGGGTAGCTATCCCACAGTTCCGCTGCCCATTGGAATTCTGGGTTGAGATCCCAATGCTTGATGGGGCAAAAAACATTGTCGCGGGTGGTTCTAGGTACATGTCATCAGGCCCTCCCTCCCTCCCTCTGTTAAAGCAATGGCAGACAATCGTTTCGTGCCTTTTTTCCTGAGTTACCTGTGCAGACGCCATACCACGGCCAGCATGGAGCCTGCTCAGCTCACTGTCACCGTATGTCTCCTGGGTGCTGGCAGACACGGTACTGCATTGCTACACAGCAGCAGCAACCCATTGCCTTGTGGCAGCAGATGGTACAATAGGCCTGAAAACCATCCTCATCATGTCCGAGGTGCTCCTGGCTGCCTCGGTAAGGTCGGTCAGGAGCACCTGGGCAGATATGGGTGCAGGGACTAAATTAGGAGTGATTCGACCAGGTCATTCTCTTTAGTCCTGCAGGCAGTCCTATTGTACCATCTTATGGTGAGCAGGCAGGAGATGTGGATGGCAAGCAGTCCTATTGCACCATTTTCTGCTGAGCAGCCAGGAGATGTGGATGGCTTGCAGTCCTTCTGCACCGTCTGCTGCCAGCCAAAGATGTAAAAGATAGATGGAGTGGATCAAAACAAGAAATAGACCAGATTTATTTTGTATTCATTTGCCTCCCCCCTCCCTCCCTCTGTGAAGTCCTGCCTGAACTACGAGAGGGAGAGAGATAGCTTAGTGGGTTGAGCACTGGCCTGCTAAACCCAGGGTTTTGAGTTCAATCCTTGAGGGGGCTATTCTGTGTGACAGCTGTTTTTGTTTCTCCTTGATGTAAAGCCACTGCCTTTGTTGATTTTAATTCCCTGTAAGCCAACCCTGTAAGCCATGTCGTCAGTCGCCCCTCCCTCCGTCAGAGCAACGGCAGACAATCATTCCGCATCTTTTTTCTGTGCAGACGCCATACCACAGCAACCATGGAGCCCGCTCAGATCACTTTGGCACTTAGGAACACATTAAACACCATGCGCATTATCCAGCAGTATATGCAGCACCAGAACCTGACAAAGCGAAACCGGGCGAGTAGGCGACGTCAGCGCGGTGACGAGAGTGATGAGGACATGGACACAGACTTCTCTCAAAGCATGGGCCCTGGCAATGCGGGCATCATGGTGCTAATGGGGCAGGTTCATGCCGTGGAACGCTGATTCTGGACCCGGAAAACAAGCACAGACTGGTGGGACCGCATAGTGTTGCAGGTCTGGGACGATTCCCAGTGGCTGCGAAACTTTCGCATGCGTAATGGCACTTTCACGGAACTTTGTGACTTGCTTCCCCTGCCCTGAAGCGCATGAAGACCAAGATGAGAGCAGCCCTCACAGTTGAGAAGCGAGTGGCAAAAGCCCTGTGGAAGCTTGCAACGCCAGACAGCTACCGGTCAGTTGGGAATCAATTTGGAGTGGGCAAATCTACTGTGGGGGCTGCTGTGATGCAAGTAGCCAACGCAATCAAAGATCTGCTGATATCAAGGGTAGTGATCCTGGGAAATGTGCAGGTCATAGTGGATGGCTTTGCTGCAATGGGATTCCCTAACTGTGGTGGGGCGATAGACGGAACCCATATCCCTGTCTTGGCACCGGAGCATCAAGCTGGCGAGTACATAAACTGCAAGAGGTACTTTTCAGTGGTGCTGCAAGCACTAGTGGATCACAACGGACGTTTCACCAACATCAACGTGGGATGGCCGGGAAAGGTACATGACGCTCGCATCTTCAGGAACTCTGGTCTGTGTGAACAGCTGCAGCAAGGGACTTACTTTCCAGACCAGAAAATAACCACTGGGGATGTTGAAATGCCTATAGTTATCCTTGGGGACCTAGCCTACCCCTTAATGCCATGGCTCATGAAGCCATAAACAGGCAGCCTGGACAGTGGTCAGGAGCTGTTCAACTACAGGCTGAGCAAGTGCAGAATGGTGGTAGAATGTGCATTTGGACGTTTAAAAGTACGCTGGCGCAGTTTACTGACTCGGTTAGACCTCAGCGAAACCAATATTCCCACTGTTATTACTGCTTGCTGTGCGCTCCACAATATCTGTGAGAGTAAGGGGGAGACGTTTATGGCGGGGTGGGAGGTTGAGGCAAATCACCTGGCCGCTGGTTATGCGCAGCCAGACACCAGGGTGGTTAGAAGAGCACAGGAGGGTGCGGTGCGTATCAGAGAAGCTTTGAAAACCAGTTTCATGACTGGCCAGGCTACGGTGTGAAAGTTCTGTTTGTTTCTCCTTGATGAAACCCCCCGCCCCTTGGTTCACCCTACTTCCCTGTAAGCTAACCACCCTCCCCTCCTCCCTTCAATCACCGGTTGCAGAGGCAATAAAGTCATTGTTGCTTCACATTCATGCATTCTTTATTAATTCATCACACAAATAGGGGGATAACTGCCAAGGTAGCAAGGGAGGGGTGGTAGAGGAGGGAAGGACAAGGCCACACAGCACTTTAAAAGTTTAAAACTTTAAAACTTATTGAATGCCAGCCTTCTGTTGCTTGGGCAATCCTCTGGGGTGGAGAGGCTGGGTCGCCGGAGGCCCCCCCACTGCGTTCTTGGGCGTCTGGAACTTGGGGAGGAGGGCGGTTGGTTACACAGGGGCTGTAGCGGCAGTCTGTGCTCCAGCTGCCTTTCCTGCAGCTCAACCATACGCTGTAGCATATTAGTTTGATCCTCCAGCAGTCTCAGCATTGAATCCTGCCTCCTCTCATCACGCTGCCACCACCTTTCAGCTTCAGCCCTCTCTTCAGCCCACCACTTACTCTCCTAGCCCGCCACCTCTCTTCCCGGTCATTTTGTGCTTTCCTGCACTCTGACATTGTCTGCCTCCACGCATTCGTCTGTGCTCTGTCAGTGTGGGAGGACAGCATGAACTCAGAGAACTTTTCATCACGAGTGCATTTTTTTCACCTTCTAATCTTCACTAGCCTCTGGGAAGGAGAAGATCCTGTGATCCTTGAAACACATGCAGCTGGTGGAGAAAAAAAAAAGAGGCAGTGGTATTTAAAAAGACACATTTTCTAGAACAATGGGTACACTCTTTCATGGTAAACCTTGCTGTTAACATTACATAAATAGCACATGTGCTTTCGTTCCAAGGTCGCATTTTGCCTCCCCCCAACACGTGGCTAGCCCTTCCCCCCTCCACGTGGCTAACAGTGGGGAACATTTCTGTTCAGCCATAGGCAAACAGCCCAGCAGGAACGGGCACCTCTCAATGTCTCCTTAAGAAAAGCACCCTATTTCAACCAGGTGACCATGAATGATATCACTCTCCTCAGGATAACACAGAGAGATAAAGAACGGATGTTGTTTGAATGCCAGCAAACATACACTGCAATGCTTTGTTCTACAATGATTCCCGAGTACGTGCTACTGGCCTGGTGTGGTAAAGTGTCCTACCATGGTGGACGGAATAAGGCTGCCTTCCCCAGAAACCTTTTGCAAAGGCTTTGGGAGTACATCCAGGAGAGCCGCAAATGCCAGGGCAAATTAATCATTAAACATGCTTGCTTTTAAACCATGTATACTATTTTCAAAGGTACACTCACCAGAAGTCCCTTCTCCACCTGGCGGGTCCGGGAGGCAGCCTTGGGTGGGTTTGAGGGGTACTGGCTCCAAGTCCAGGGTGAGAAACCGTTCCTGTCTGTCGGGAAAACTGGTTTCTCCGCTTGCTTGCTGTGAGCTATCTAGAACTTCATCATCATCTTCCTCGTCCCCAAAACCTGATTCCGTGTTGCCTCCGTCTCCATTGAAGGAGTCAAACAACACGGCTGGGGTAGTGGTGGCTGAACCCCCTAAAATGGCATGCAGTTCATCATAGAAGCGGCATGTTTGGGGCTCTGACCCGGAGTGGCTGTTTGCCTCTCTGGTTTTCTGGTAGGCTTGCCTCAGCTCCTTAAGTTTCATGCGGCACTGCTTTGGGTCCCTGTTATGGCCTCTGTCCTTCATGCCCTGGGAGATTTTGACAAATGTTTTGGCATTTCAAAAACTGGAACGGAGTTCTGATAGCACGGATTCCTCTCCCCATACAGCGATCAGATCCCGTAGCTCCCATTCAGTCCATGCTGGAGCTCTTTTGTGATTCTGGGACTCCATCAAGGTCACTTCTGCTGATGAACTCTGCACTCACCTGCAGCTTGCCGTGCTGGTCAAACAGGAAATTGAAATTCAAAAGTTCACGGGCCTTTTCCTGTCTACCTGGCCAGTGCATCTGAGTTGAGAGTGCTGTCCAGAGTGGTCACAGTGGAGCACTCTGGGATAGCTCCCGGAGGCCAATACCGTCTAATTGTGTCCATGGCACCCCAAATTCGACCCAGCAAGGCCGATTTCAGTGATAATCCCCTTGTCAGGGGTGGAGTAAGGAAATCGATTTTAAGAGACCTTTAAGTCGAAAAAAAGGGCTTCGTCATATGGATGGGTGCAGGTTTAAATCGATTTAACGCTGCTAAATTCTACCTCAACTCCTAGTGTAGACCAGGGCTAACTTCACCACCTCAACCAAGCTTCACAATCGTTGTTGTGTACAGTATTAAATTGTTTGTTTAAAACTTATACTGTGTGTGTATATATATATATTTATATATATATATATATATAATATTTTTTGTCTGGTGAAAAAAATTTCCCTGGAACCTAACCCCCCACTCCCCCATTTACATTAATTCTTATGGGGAAATTGGATTCGCTTAACATCGTTTTGCTTAAAGTTGCATTTTTCAGGAACATAACTACAACGTTAAGCGAGGAATTACTGTATTTACATTGGCAAATCTATCTTTACGATTTTTTTTCCTGATACAGAACCCTGGAATAATTAATCTGAGGAAAACATGCAGGATTTATAAAGAACAGATAAAATTCAGACTACCCATCAAACAAATGCTTAGGGGGGCATATGTATATATATGCTCACAAACCCCAAACAGAGGGTCCCACTGGAGTTGGATTCCAAATGTGTTCACACGTGACACGGTATTAATAGCCTTCATCTACCTTGTCTCTCCAATATCCTGGGACCAACAAAACTACAACAGCACAGTGAGCACTGATAATGTCATTCAGGGAAGTGGTGTAGCTATGGCAACAAAAGACCTCCTTCTGTCGGAATATACTGCATCTATAGCTAAACCAGCATAGAATTAGTAGTCTAGGCAAGGCCCTTGTAAAATTCAAGTGATCTGTCTCTATATTTTTACAGTAGCACAGGTAATAGACCTTGGTGACATTTTTCAAATTAAATGTTTTTTCACTAAAAAAAAGATGCATATTCAGGTCAACTGAAACATTTTGTAACAAATTCACCAAATTATTTGAGACATGAAAAAAAGTTCTGAAAAAGCAGAAATGTTCATTTTTGACATTTTTTAAATGAAACATTTTGATTTTTTTTAATTCAAAACGATTTTAGAATTTTAGAAATATACTTCCACTTTATTTTCCAAAAGGTTATAAAAAAACACAAACAAAAATAAATGTTTCATTTTGGGTTGAACAAAAAGTTTTGTTTGACCAAACAAATGTTTTGACTTTTTTTTTTTTTTTTTTGGTTTGCTGAAAAATTTAAAAAGAAATATTTTGGATCAATCCCAAATGTTTTTTTAGGCTTGGCCACCAAACCAAAAAATAAGTTATTTGCACAGCTGTAATAGCTAACATCCATTAGTTATCCCTCAGTGAAATATGACTTTTTGTCAATGAAGACATAACCTTAGGCTCATTCCCTACCACTGTGTTGATGTTTAGGACCTCATTTTCAAAGCTATTTTCAAAGCACCTAACTCCTGATGGGAATCTAAATACCTTTGAGGATATGGACCTCAGGGTATATCTACACTTAAAACGCTACAAAAGTGCAGCTACAGTGCTGCATCTGCATCAGTGTTGCACTTCAGTGTAGGCGGGGTTTTCCCTCTGGTGTAGGTAATCCACCTCCCCAAGAGGCTGTAGCTAGGTGGATAGAAGAATTCTTCTGTCAGCGTAATGCTGCTGACACTGGGAGTTAGGTTGGTATAGCTATATCTCCCAGGAGTATGGCTTTTTCACACCCCCTGAAAGAAGTAGCTATGCCAATGTATGTTCCCAGTGCAGACCAGCCCTTAGTCCCAACAAGCCTATCTTGGCTTGTGGCAAGGCTGACAAGCTTCTTTTAGCTATTTTTTGCTTCACTGGGGATAAAGAGGTCAACTAAAACTGAGGAGGAGGGGGCCCTCGGGAAATTTATGAGTGAAAGCTGCTGCTTCGTTACTCCTTTCGCCCACAGGGGGTGAATCTGAAAGCACCCTCCGCCCCAACAGCCCAATAAGTCTCAAAGAGGGGATGCCACGACCCGTACTCTAGGCCTCCAAAGGCCTTCTAAGGCCCATGATGGAGAGTTTGGGGACAGGTTAACCTAAGGTTTGCAGGAGGTGCATTCTGGGGGAAGGGCCAAGGACAAGACTCATTATGGATTGCAGGTTGAACTTGTCATAGGGCTGAAGAGCTTACATTGACTCAGGGAAAGGGGAATCATGGTGCATGGGGGAGGGACTCCCAGGGACGTAGCCATGCAATGCAACAGCAGCATTTCTGTTCCCATGGCTCTTGTCCTCCCGTGCAGGCCAGCGAACAGCAGGCCAGGGGGGAAGGGCGATTCATCCCCCAACTTTCCTGCCAGCCACATTTCCCCCGTTGCTATATATCTTAGGAAGGGACCCTCAATCCTGCAGACCTCATGGCTTAATTTTCAAAACTGCTGAGCACCTACAGCTCCCATTGATTTCAACAGGAATTGGTGTGTTCAGTATCTTTGAAAATCAGGCCTAAAGAAGTAAGACATTCTTAGTTTTCATGGTAACTGATAAATAAACTCTTTGCTATGGACAAGTAACACTGTTGCCAACTATTGTGATTTTAACACGAGTCTTGTGATATTTGGTATTTTTGTGAAAGCCCAAGCTCCTGGACTCACTTGATCACAGGAGAATCTCAGCTTACATTAATAAAAAGTAAGTTTCTGTCCTCCTGGTTACAGAGAGAAGATGGAAAACATGACCCCTAAAGGCTCAAAACAGCTCAGAAGCTAAATCAAAACACCCCAATTTTTTATTTAAAACAAACAAACAAACAAAAAAATCCCTCATGATTTTTAAGCAATATTGGGCTAAAGTAGTCTGGGTTTCTCAGGGCATCACATGTGGGAAGAGTTAAGGTGGTCCGGCCACCTAACTGAATTTCCATGCTTTCAGAGGTTTGGGTTTCTTTTGAGTTTAACCTTCACTCTGGATTTCCAGGGTTTCCAACAGTTTGTTTATTGATTTCCTTTTGTTTTATGTCTACCTTTCAAGAATGTTTGTACACATAAACTACTGATACAGTCTAACAACCCTAACTTTGGCTGAAAATGACATTTAAAATTGTTTTCAAACCAATAATCAATATGATGACAAATTTTTTTAATTGAGGTTTTCAGGTAAACAGCTTTGAACAGAAGCTTCAGTTTACATGGATATAACTAGGACAGAGGAAGTAAGAACACTCTAAAAACAATCAAAAAGCTATACACACACACACAGCTTTCTGCCCCCACCTAGAGCCCTCAGGTAAAATTTTGGGATGTAAATAAGCAGGAAAAAAAAATCTTTTCAGCACTTTTTTAAACCATCAGGAAGAGAACACAAATCCAGTTGTTTTTCCTTTGCAGATTACCTTTAATAGAGACACCTTCTTATTAAAAACAAGCAAACAAAAGGACATTTTCTGCCCAACCCAGAGTTCCCGGAAGCATTATACTTGGTTCCAATGGGAAGCAGCTGGTTATGCAGAAACTCTCTTCCCTTCTTTTAAAATACCTTTCATACGGGTCATAGGGGTTTGCTTCTTTTAGATTTTGTCTAAATTCCCAGAAACTTGCAGTGAAATAAGAAAATTTACCATGTGGGGATGTCATGTTATAATATGTTAGTGCACTAATGATGTTGTATCATGAAGCTGTGCAATTCTGTAACATGGTTTAGTATTATTAACACAGGCAAGATATAATAAGTTTGAGGCACTGCTCTATGTTAATTATTAATATTATTACACTAGTACCTAGGGTCCCATTGTGTTAGGTACTGCACAAACACAGTTCCCCAAACAGCTAAACAGTCAAGTTAGACAAAGTATGGGAGGGCGCTTGGGCAACAAGAGTTGAAAGTACCTGCTCAAGGTGACACAGCAAAGCCAGGAATACAATGCAGTCTAGTCCAGTGTCCTATTCATTGCATTTAGCACAGAGACATGACACGGTAATTTTTGATGTCTGAGATGGGCTGTAATTTTAAATCAAAGTTCTTTAGAAAATAAAATCATCTCCTAAAAAGAGTTTAGGAAGCAGCCAAACCCAATTCACTTATTTATATAAGGAAAATGTTTCTAGCCCTCTTGATCCTCAAGCAATTATTACCCCTAAAGAAAAAACTTTGGGGCAGGTCCTTGGTGGGTGTAATAGCTATTGGAACTAAGACGATTACACCAGCTGAACTGTCCCTGTCTTTTTGGGCAGGGTAGTAATGTGTGTGCCTTTTGGACAGATTCAGTAATAACGATCACATATATAAAGTACTGATTTTATGAAAAAGCCTAATACATAAAGATGTAGCATTTACTGAAAGAAAACAAAACACAAAACTGACATTAAAAAACTCCCCACCAAACCCTTCCAGCAATGTCCAGTTACTGATTTAGAGGTTAGTGCTGTGTTTTGGAAAAAATCCAGGCACCATATGATTTCATGCACTAAAAACTTTAAACATTTCAGAGAAACATAACATATGACATAGGGTGTTTTTATTTAATGAATGGCTTTAAAAAATGGAGCCAGTGTCCCTTTCACAGATGTACATCTTGGGCCAAAAGCATTGCTTTAGAATGTGTCATCACTTGGGAACCTAAAGAATTGTGCTTGAGAAAACATTGCTAGAAAATAATATCCCCTTCCCAGAAAGGTTCACTTCAGACTTTGTAGAAAAACAGAACAACTCATTTCCACTGGATATAATTTATCTATTGAGAAACTTACTTAAAGGCACCAGGTTGCTGGGCACATAGTTAGAAAACTGTTTACCCTCATAGTAATAATAATAATGAATCATTATTATTAGCACTTAGCTCTTATATAGCACTTTACATCCTCCAGCCATTTTACAATCATGAAGTAGTTAGTCCTCACAATACTGCTGTGCGATAGTAAAATATTATTAGCTCCTTCAGGGGATGTGTGTGGAGATGCACTGGAATTTCTGGAAGCACATTGCACTTGACTTAGTGCTTGTCTTCACTGCTAAAAAACCCCATGTTTTTACCTCAGAGTAACTAAATTGCATGAGCTGTTCTGACGCACAAACACAGGGAAGACCAGGCACTTCAGTTTTACCGAGAGGTAAACTCACCAAGGTAAACATCTTTATATCCCCAGCTGGGATGGACTTTGGTGAGTTTACCTCACTGTAGAATGAAAGTGTTTGGTCTTCACTGTGTTTTTACTTTAGGATAGCTCCTGTGCATTAGTTTTTCCATAGAAAAATACCTGTTCATCAAAACAAACATTTCATGGGAGACGGCTCCTTTTGACAAATTTCTTGACTAAAACTAAAATTTGGGGAAAAAAGTTTTAAAATTGTTGAGACATGCCATTTTGACATTTTTAAATGAAAATTTCGGTTTTCTGGTTGAAAACACCCTTTTCCCTCCAAAATTGAAGCTAATTATAGTACATTTTTAAATGGTCATTACTAAAACAAAACCTTTCAAAATTATCAAAATGAAATGTGTCAACTGACTTGAACCAAACACTTTTTGGTTCAGAATGGTTTTCAAAATTTTGACTTTTCATCCCAACATGGGATGGGAAAAATTTCCAAAACTTTGAAAATGTTTGTGGGATGGGAAAAACATTTCCTGCCCAGCTCTAACTGAGACTTTAACATGTTAGTTAAAAGTGTTAGAAATACACCATTTTAATTAACATATGAGTCGCGCCTTTTCCCCCTCAACCACTGATGCGATGGAAGAGAAGGTTTCTTGCATTCTCTAGCTGACCTTGCTCATCGATGGGACTAGCCCTAATGGACATATATAACGGCTCCTTTAATAAACCTAGATATGGCAGGCCAATTCAACCGACCATTCAGCATATATGCACTCTCTATGGCCCCAATCCTGCATATAATTAAGTATATGAGTAGCTTTATGCACGTGAATAGTCCCATTGAACTCAGGGGGACTACTCAGGTGCAGTATTGGGGCCTGTGTCTGGAATTATATTTACCCCATAATCATAAATTCCTTCGGGAAGGTAGCATTTTGCATGCAAATGGCTTTTTAATGGGGTTTGAATTATAATGAGCTCTCACAGCCTTGGATAGATAAAAAAAAAAATTAGTCAAACCATTGAAATAGATCATCCCCTTACCATTTTCTTCATCCTGACTGCAACAGTGCCCAGTAGAGTGGCTGTTTGATTATTCCTGCCTGACCCACACTTCCTAGATGAATTTAAAAACACAAAACAAAACAAAACACCAACCAAAAGATATTAAGTGGCTAGCTTAAGTATGCTTTGTCATTTTTGCAAGTGCCCTCCTAAATGTTAGGGGGATGGGGCAAAATGAAGATGGGAAGCTTGCATAACCAGTTCCCAGAGTAAGAATACAATTGAGGGGCTCGGCTAACGTTGCAGCCCGAGTAAGAGCTGAGAAGCAAAGTACAAGGTGGGAGATACATGAAAATCATAGCACTGCTCTGATCAGACCTCTAGATAAACTGTTCTCATTCCTTTCCCTTCTGTTTTTCTTCTCAAAGTTTTTCTTCATTTAATCCTCTCTTCCAGCTTTTGACTCATTTCTTCTACAACTGAAACACACACACACACACACACACACACACTCAATCTTCAGGCGAAGTACTGGAAAATAATGGCTCAACAGCTCAGTTATGATCATTTCCAGCACGAGGCATAACTGAACGTCGAACGGGATTAAAAAGTACATCATGTCTCCTTCAAACTATTTATCTGAAAACCTCGCTGTTTTGCCTGTCGTGCCCTCTTTCTGCGGGAGGATGGCGCTCTGATATTTGAAGATCTTTTCTTCAGGGCTCTATAGTAGTTTTTCACGCTTTGCTGCTACTACAGCAGACGCCTGCCTCTCTCACTATTTGCTGCAGCAATCAGGGGGTGCCTGACTGTAAACAAAACACTTTAGATCATAGCAAGGTCGCTCCAGACACAGCCTTTCTACTTACAGCCTAAACTATTTAAGGTGGAATGATTGTGATTTATTTCTTCTAAGGGGAGAAAAATAAGAAAAAAAACCCTCTCCTGTTGTGAATTAGCTAATGAGCCTGACTCCAGCAGCAAACACTGGTCATAAAATGATAAGCAGGATGTAAGCTAAGAATTGAGTTGCTCCTTGAGGAAAGACCATGATAACTACAGGTCATTTGCAGATTTTCTCCAAAGAATTGCTGAACGCTCCAAATCATTTATCCCATACCTCTTGGAATGTCTTCTCATGTGAAAATGATTGCATTGCTGAGGCTACAGTCTTGAGTCTGCCCTGCTTTTGCACATCGCACAGTCCTTTATACCAGTACAAAGCAGGTGTAAAATACTTCCACTCAGAAGGGTGGCATTTTATCCCTACTTTGCACCGATATAAATGACTGCAGCATTACAGCCTCCTATGCTGCAAGGGCAACACGATCTTTTAGGATGGTTTACTTCTAGGGTCTCTCGTAAACGCCCAAGCTCCCACCTGCTTTCTTGGCAGTCCATTGGGTCTCTGGCTGAAAGAGGTGTGTGGCTCATTTAGGCCTTCTCTGTTCTAGAAAAGTGAACCAGTTTAGCTAAATAAATTGTTAATCTGATGCAAGCCCCTGATGTAGTCAAACTAGTGGTCTTTTCTAGCATAGACCAGGTTCTAGATCTGGTGCTGTTTGGATGCTGAGTTCCTAGCTGGACATATACATGAATGGTTATCAGTTGTAACTTATCCAGGAAAGCGCCTGGAGTCTTGAGAATGTCAGCTTTACTTATTTTAATTTTTAAAAGTAAGTTTTTAGACGTGTGGTAGCAGAGAGAAGTTGGAAAATGAAAACTAAGGGCCAAAACCAAACCAAAACCAAACCAGAAGGCAAATAAAAAGGTACACAAGTTTATTGTTTCATTGAAATCTCATAATTTTTAACATAATCTCATGGTGTATTGTTTTTTGTTTGTGTTTTATTATCTTTTGGGTTTTTTTGGCCTGATTTATGATTTGTTGAATGATTGGGGCTGGCAATATTAAGACCCATCAAGCAGAATGGTCCAAGCATTAAATAGAAAACTAAGGCCAATACAATACAAAATTATGCCCACTTAACTGATGTCAGCATACAGCCACCATAGTTATTAAATCACTTGTGGGTCTGTGTGCACACTTGGCTCCTGGTGTCGGCAGTGCACGTCTTCACCAGGAGTACTTGTATGAATTGTTGTGTTAGTGTTGGCACTGTGGGACAGCTCCTGAAGGCCAGTAACAGTCAATGTAAGTGCTGCACTGATCTAATTACACCAACTGACTCTACAGTGCTTGGAGAGGTGGTGTTATTTAGGCCATGTCTACACTAGCACTTATGTTAGCAAACTTTTCTTGCTCGGGGGGTGGGAAAAAACCACCCCCACGTGACATACATTTTGCCATAATAAGCACGTGTGTGCACAGCACTATGTCGGTGGGAGATGCTCTCCCGCCAACATAGCTACTGCCGCTCGTTGGGCTGGTTTTATTATGGCAAAAGGAGAGCTCTCTCTTGTTGCCATAACATGGCCACATGAGCGATCTTACAGCAGCACAGGTGTATTGGTACAGCTGTGCCACTGTAATTTCGTAAGGGTAAACATGGCCTAAGTCAGTGTAGAGAGGTACTTATGTGGGCGGGAGCCAAATTTAAGAGAAGATAGGTCGACGTAAGCTGCCTTGCATTGACCTAACTGTGTAGTGTAGACCAGGCCTAAAATTAGGAACTCCCTGCTCTGAAACTAATTTCTTCTAAGGCCTTGGGTAAGTCACACAAACCTCTCTCTGCCCAGAAAATCGGAATGATCATTGAGATTGAATGGGGCAAAAGAGGAAAACAGGGTTTTCCATCTTTAGTTTTCCTCTTCCTTCCTCCAGCCTTACTCCTGGTGTTGTGCAATGACTATTATTTTTATTACATCATTGCCTTAAGGAATGTTCACTGTGAAAGCTTAAGCAGCCCATTAAAAACTTTGGTCCCAGAGAGAGAGAGAGAGAGAGAGAGAGAGAGAGAGTAAAACAAACCCAGTTGCTTCAAGGTCAGTTGAATCCTCTCTCTCTCCTCCAGTTAAACTCTGGGGGCTCTCTGCTTAAAATAGTTTGTCCAAAGCAGCGAATCTGGTGGTGCATAGGCACACAGAAACAAAATCGAATTACAGTGAAATTATATCATGTTGTGCAGGATAGAGGGGAACACAAGCCCCAGAGACTGGGATCTTTCTGTTCCCCTTACAAAGGCAAAGGAGTACCTACACCCTTCAGCAAGGGCTGGTGGCAGCGTCCCCGGGGGCGCTCTTAATCTCGGAGGATCCGATGTGGCCTGGAGCCCTAGCAGAACCCTCCTCCACCCCTGACAACGGGACCTCCCCTTCACAGGCAGGAGACGGCACGGGCTGTGACCAGGGCCGGGCAGGGAGCAGACGGTGTTAAAGGTACGCAGTACCAGTGGTTATCGGCTCCGACCCTGCTGGAGCTGACTGAGGCGGTGGGCGCGATTGCTGGAGCATCGCGCCCGTCAGCCCAAACACACACTGCAGAACTAGGCTCGCTCACTCACGGCGATCTCGGCCTCCGCGAAGGATGCGGGAGCCCCTGCTTCGGCTACTTCTTGCTCTCTGGTTAGCAGGAGGTGTCCCTGCTGGCTCCCTCCTTACTTACACCTCCCTAGCTCGCTCCTTATCTGGCGGGCCCGGGGGTGCCGTAGGACCGAGGGGTCCCGCTTCCCTCTCCCCAAGCTCGAGATCCCCGCCCAGCCCCAGCGCCTCGCCGTGAACTCCTGACCTTCCCGTCTCCAGGGCGAAACCCTTGGCGCGGGGGGCTGCGAAGCGCCGGCTGCAAGAACGAAGTCAAAATGTAACCAGCCGCCCCCCCCCCCCGCCCACGCCTCGCTGCCGGCCCCGCGGCAAAGCCGCTCCGCGCTGAGCCTCCGCCGGCCCCGCTTGCGGCAGGGCAGCTGGGACCTACGCAGGGCCGCTGGCAGCGAGAGACGAATGGCAAAAAGCGGATTGCCTCCATCTCCTCCCCCCACCCCGCTTTTCACAAATGATGACGATTAAAGCGGACTGAGCCCGAGAGGTGGCAACTGAGGCCGGGCCACCTTTAGAGCGGGCTGTTTGGAAGAGGTGAGGCGCACAGATGGGGCGGCGCCCTGCGCATTAACCAATGGATCGCCTCCGCTGTTTAAATAGACTTGTAATGTCAATCATTTTCTTCTTCGTCAGCCTCCCTTCAATCGCCATATTGGGCAACTGAGAAAAGGGCTCGTCTTTTCTTGTTTTTTCCGTCGTCTTTTTTTTTTTTTTTTTTTTTTTTTTTTACTACACGGCAGCTTTGACATCGGCAAGGTTCGCGAGCGCAGTTTGGATCGGGGGAGCCGCAGGCTTCGCATCAGCCTGGAAGTGGGCTTGCAAAAGGGGGCTTGGCTTTTCCCCCATCCTCCGCTCTCCCCAGCGTCCGCTGGATCTGCCCCGGGCTTTCTGGTGAATATCAGGGGTTCTCTCCCCCCGGCCCGTGTCTTATGCAAGTGTTTGTTGTTGTCTCTTCTCGAGGAGCGGAGATCGAGTTTAAAAAGAAGAAGAAGAGACGAGGAAGGACATATTTTCACGTAGCGAAAGAGAAAAACACCCACCGCCGCCAGAAGAAAGAGGGTGGGGGGAAATGTCAAACGTTCGTATTTCGAATGGGAGCCCGACCCTGGAGCGGATGGAAGCCCGGCAGTCGGAGTATCCCAAGCCTTCCGCTTGCAGGAACCTCTTTGGGCCCGTGAATCACGAAGAGTTAAACAGGGACTTAAAGAAGCACCACAAGGACATGGAAGAGGCATGTCAAAGGAAGTGGAATTTTGATTTCGAGAATCACAAGCCCCTGGCTGGCAGGTTCGAGTGGCAAGCGGTGGAGAAAGGGAGCTCGCCCGACTTCTACTTCAGACCTCCGAGGCCCCCCAAAGTGGTTTGCAAAGCTGCCACCCATGAGAGTTTGGATGTAAATGGAAACTGCCCAACAACGGTGATTGTAGTCGGTTCTCAGGGAATCTCAGAGGACACTCACTTTGTAGATCAAAAAACTGATGTATCTGAAAATCAAACGGACTTAGCAGACCAGTGCACTGGGCAAAGAAAACGACCAGCCACGGATGGTAACGTACTCTTAGAAAACAAAAGCTTTTTACTTTCTGTGCTGTATCCTTGTCAGTGTTAGTTAGCGCCGTATACCTCCTTCGCATATACATCGCGCTCATGTCCTGCATACGGTAAACTGTTCGACTGGTTTACTGGCAGACAGCGTTTCAAGATTTACCCCTCCTCTTAGCTTAAAAACCCAGGACGGTCTGTACTCTCGGGAATCTTAAGTTAAATTGGCTTCTGGAGTCCATGGATCATTTGCAGTCAAATGCCCTTAAACTAACACCTCCTTCCTCCCCCCCGCCCCCGACCGTAGTAATCGCTTTGTGAATTCTGCATCCTTTTGACTTGATTAAATAGGTACAAGTTTCATAACACATGTGAAGCAAAGTGTAGAAGGATATTTTGGACAAAACAAGAAACTTGTATCTTTATTTAAGCAAAGAAACAACTCTTCTCCCCATCTCTTTCGTGCAATCGATAGTTGACCCTGAGGGTCATAAATATTCAGGGTCCTCCAGTCCCCCGTTCCCCCATGCAGAGCAAACATCTGGCAGCAAATGTAGAAAATATCAAGTTTTCACTTTTCTTTTTGTTTCTTTCAATGTACCCCTCCTAGATTCTTCTCCTCAACCTAAAAGAGCCAACACAACAGAAGAAGAGGTTTCAGAAGAATCCCCCAGTGCCAGTTCAGTGGAGCAAACACCCAAGAAATCCAGCCCAAGAAGACGTCAAACGTAAACTGTTTAGGTGGGTTCCCATTACAACGGTGGGGTGTTTTTTTTCAAACCAGTGTAACTGAGTAAAGCATTGAAGGACTATGGAAAGGTCCACTCTGAGGCCATTCCAGTATCTATGATAGTAGTTTCTCTGAAAAACTTTGTGGGACTTGGTCTTTTTTTTAATACGCCTTCAAAACAGAATTTCAAAAGGGCTTTAAAATAGAAGTCTACAGATTAAATACATCTTGTTACTATGCTTAGGAAGACTATGCTACACTTTGGGGGGTAGGGGAGAGGGAGTGTAAATGAGTGAGTTTTTATTATGTGCCATTAATAAACAATACCTTCGCTCTGGTTTAAGATTTGGGTCACTTAAGTAAGGAGGAACCTCTTACCAATTGTATCGGACCCATGCTGGTAGAAGGAATGAGTTTCAAATACGTTCTTTCTAAACTGTATTGAACTTTCAGATGAGTATTAATAGCTTTTCCTATTGTCTTTGCACATACCAGCAAACTTTAATCGTGAGACATATAAGTAAATAAGGACTGTAAATCAAGAAGCTGAGCATTTTCTTTGTATCAGCACTGTTCTTTTTTGTTATATTTATTTATTTTTCTACGATCACACACATTGGGATTTACAGTCAGCACACTGCGTTAAGGAGAGGGTGTTTTTCAACGTAAGGGCCTGGGGGTCGTACATTTACCGATGGTTTCAAAGTAGTAGGGGTTAAAGGAAAGAGCTTCCAAACATGATTTGCGATTGTGCAGAACAGATTAAACTGCAAAGCAGAAATTAAACCAAATTACCTCTGCTGCGGTAAACAATCCAGGAACACGTCAGCATGCATGTGTATGCAAATTGTACTACTACCGTCTGTTTATTTGGGTGTTTGAAGGGGAAACTAATGGTGTCGGCAGACAAAAAAGAAAAGGAGTGGAGTAGAGGAGGGTTCCCTGGGCTGTTTATTTTTATTATTGCAACCCAAAATACGTTTGAGTTTAGAAAGATAGAAGATCAGTTGCAAACGAATATTGCATTAATCTTAAATATGTGGCTCTGGGTCAGCCATCAGACTCGTTGCAAAACGGCTTAATAACACAGCGTTTATACTACTTTTAAAAAGTGAAATATGGGGCGCTCTGGAAACATGTTCACTTGGTCTCAACTCTGTGTGGGCCTGCTAGATTTAAAAAAGCTATGTGTGGATCAGCAGCCCTCCATAAGGGTGGGGTGGGGGTGAGTTTCCCTTGTTTTTAAAGGAATATGGCTCTCTTCTGCTCATATACTACTGATTACTGGTCAAAAGTTTTGTTGGCACCACACCCAATTTTAAATTGCTCCATCCCCAACAATTAGGGCAAAGAATGCCAGTGATTGATTTAGTTTTTAAATAGTGCCTTGTGTGTCATGATCTCTCCTAGAGCAAAGCAATCACATTTCTTTTGGCACTTCTAATACCTTCCCTTTTTATTTTCATTACAGATTTAAGAATATGCATTTCCTTGTTCATCAGATGCCTTGGTGGTTGATGAAGGGAGGAAGATGTAAAGTTTATATATATATTAAAATACATATCGTTGATTCTCCATGGGATGGAGATCCTGTACAAGCACTGAAAAAAAAAAACAAAAAAATAAACAATAACACTAAAATTTTAGGCACTCTTAAAAAACCTGCCTCTAAAAGCATTGGATGTAGCATTGTGCAATTAGGTTTTTCCTTATTTGCTTCATTGTACTACCTGTGTATATAGTTTTTACCTTATGTAGCACATAAACCTTTTTTGGGGGGGGAGAGGGAGGGGATGGCAAAGGGTGACCAATTGAAACTTGCATTCACAATCTAGCAAGCAGGGAAATTTATGAAGAGAGGCAGTGTAGAGGTTTTCTTAAAAAAAAATATTTAAAGATGTATTGTCTCTTTAAGTGGGGTCTACAATGCCTTTTTTTTTTCCTTTCTTTTTTTTTAAATACACCATAATGCTAACACTGGCTACAGCAGACTGTTACAGGCTGCTTGTGAATTTCTACTTATTACATTAAGCTTAAGAGGTGGGAGCTCTGTTTCCGTTATGTAGCAGCAAAAGGATTTTTATGTTCTGCAACTTCTTAAATCTCTTAGGATAAACCTAAAGAATTTTAGAGTAGTTCCATTGACTCCAACTATTACCCATAACATTGGCTGGATATTTTCAAATGAATCTGGAGAGTTCATATTCCAAAACAGAATATTGTTGATTACTGATCTCTTTTCCCTGATGTTCATGAGTGAATGAAAAGGGACACTACATCTTTAAACAGTATTTCTACACTGCCTGTGTATCTGTATGTAAAAATAAAAACATAAAAGTTTGAAGTGTACCTGTGTACATAACTCTGTAAAGACACTGAGAAATTATACTAACTTATTTATGTTAAAAGATTTTTTTAATCTAGAAGAAGCTATTTTTTCCCCATAAAGCCAAAGTGGCATGTTTTGTGCATTTGTAAATGCTCTATTTGGTAGACTTGTAGGGTTTTTTTGTTTGTTTCTGTTTTTTTTTTTTTCTTTTTCTGTTAATTAATATGGCTGTGCTGAAAGGATTGCAGACTGAGCCAAGTTTAATATTTTTTTTTGTAATGCGTGAGAAAAAATTGCCAATTGTTTCACATCAAGCAATCAATAAAGAAAACTGCCATATATATGAAATGAGTTCTCTGCTGTGTGTTTCAATTTCATTCTTTACCTGGCCCAAGAGGAAGTAGATTACTTCAAGTAATACAGCAGGTTTCCCTCTGTGTGTCTAAAGTACAGGGAAAAGTAAGGAATAAAGATACAGCATTATAAATATATACATTCCTCAGGCCCTGTGTCATAATTTACTGTTACTTCTACCAGTAATAGGCATTATCTCAGATTACCCGGGAGCAAAGGCCCTCAACCTCTTGATTCAATGGGGGAACTTAGCTTCTTGAGTCACACTATTTTGTTTAAAAACTATACTTTTGAAATCTTAATCCAAATAACATCTGGTCATAACATACTCAAATACTGGACCATAGCTTGCCATTAGATGTCACAGGATTTGGCCAACTGTATGTCAGACCTAAGCTGTTGTTAAGGCCCAAATCCTTAACGGTATTT